AGACATTCTGACAACAGCCTTTGACCTCCAAACGTGCGAGCAAATGTACCTACACACGTGTACACACGGGCATCACACACGCTCATAAATACAAGGCCATCCTCAGCTACATGGCAAGTTCAAGGCTAGCCTGGGCCACATGATAGTTTTGTGTGTGTGTGTGTGTGTGTGTGTGTGTGTGTGTGTGTGTACTAGCTCTAAGCCTGATTAATTGTGAACTTTCATTACAGTAAAACCCATTCCAAGCTAAAGGTTTGGCTGGAGTTTGGGGAACCCTGGGGTTACAGGAGAAGACGCAAGGCAGCTCCTTTATATTTTCACACACATTCTGCTTGAGGGGAGCGAGACTGCCTTGCGGGTTTTCAACCACACTGGAGCTTCAGCGCGGGCTCCGGACATGGCGCCATTTGGGGGGGTGGGGGGTGGGAGCAACACGGAAAGTTCAAACCGGGTAATCAAACCCACACTCCCACCTGCCATGGCTCTCTCGCTGTCAACAAGCCCCTCTCATCACTTACCTCTACCGCCACCATCTGAGCAACTTGCCTTCTTCCAAATCCACACGACAGGCAATTAGCTGAAGCAAGAGCAGGTGGGCACGGGGACCCCCCCCCAAAAAAAACTGCCAAGTCAAGCAAAAGAAGCAAGCTGGCTAGTGCAGATGAGAGTGGGGCACACACGATTGAGTGGGCCGTGACAAGCAGCTACTCCCCTCAAGCACCGACACAAGCGAAGGGAAGGCAGCTGAGCAGAATAGATTTCTTTTGACGTAGCTGAACTTGGCTCTGTCATTATTTTACTCGTTTTCTTGTAAAGTTTGGCAAAACTTCTGCATATATTTCAAGTGATTGAAAAATTTTCTTGCCCCCATCTATTTTCAAAGAGCGCTTAGCTGTCTAAAAACAAATGGGCCCTTTCTGAATATATTTAAATATCATTAGAGAGGTATGGCTGCCGCACACAGAATTACCCAGACTTCGCGTAAACAAATTATTCATTGCGCTGTTTTGACAAGACCTCTGGGTCTTGAAGTCTAATTTTTAACACTAATGATTTTTTTTTTTAAAGAAATTCCTCGGGGCACAGGAAAACCCAGCACCTGAGAGCCAGCCTCCAAATCGAGCTTCGCGTCTCCTCTTTCCGTCCCGCCCCGGGCAAACCTGTTGCCTGCGCGCCGCGGCTCCTACTCCCACGGCGGGGATGACCAGCTAAAAAGCCTCGGAGCTTAACAAGTGGGTCCCGGACCTGCGCGCGCTCTGGCTCCCCTGGCCGGCGCTGGTGGAGCTGCGGATCCGGCCGGTTGCTTCCAGGCTGTTCCCTGGTCTAACCTCCTGTTTCCCTTCTTTGCCTCCCCTGAGCTATCTCTCTAAGTCAGTTTCTGCTCCCATCCACTGTGTCTGCCGCCAAGTCCATCTCTCCCTTCCCGCAGCTCACTGACCCAGGCTCTGCCACTGCTCACCACCGTCCAGCCGAGCTCCTCGAAGTAATTCTTCACGCCCATCCTAATAAAACAGCCGCTCCCCGGCCTCCCTTCGCTGACCCGTTTACTAACAGCGGGACTAGTTTTTTTTTTTTTTTTACCGTTCCTACCGCATCCCCTGGATGGAAGGTCCTTTCCGCAATCTGTGCCCAGAACCCCAACCCAGACCCTTCTGCACTCGCACTGCCTCGGCCCTGTCGACGTGGGGCCGGTGGACTGGGCTCCGGAGCTGCGCGGTGCAGCTGGCGCGGGCTCGCCGGGATCGCGCCGGAACCGAGGAGGATTCTCGCCGGGACCGCGCTCGGACCCCAAGAGGATGCTTACCTGGTTCGCACCAGAACTTGGGCCCTCAGGATGACACTAGGACCCAGGCTTGAGCTCCCGGGATGGCACTCGCCTCCTGGGTCCGCCGGGTCGAGAGAATGCTTTCCGCCGCGGCAGCCCAGGAGTCCGGGGCTGGGCGGTCAGCAGGGCGTCCCAACCAACTTGTCCCTCGTATTTCGTTTGAGGGGAGCTGCCGACATCATCCTGGCGGGGCCTGTCAGGTACGAGTGACTCCTCCAGGCCGGCTTACCCACCCACAGACCGGGATCTCCCGGGCATCCTCCGTTGCTTCTGGTTAGTGAGAGAATTTGCGCCGCGCGGGGATCGAAGCGAAACAAAAGTACTTTCCCCTCTGCTGGTGACTGTCGGGAACTGCAGGCGAGCGGAGACCTGCAGAGAGGTTTGCCTCCCCGCTGGCGGCTCAGCTTGGGGTGTTCCCTCCAAGATAGGCTTTGGACCCGCGCACTACCTTCAAGCAGTTTATTTGATTGTATTGTGTCTTGTTTTATATGGCCACATCAACACAAGGAAACTCGTTTTAGGCTTTAGAGTCACCTCTCCACCTTATATTATTTTAAAGATTGATTGATGTGTAGGGGTGTTTTTGCCTACATGTTTGTGCACTGCATGCATGCCTGGTGCCCAGGTAATCCAAGGAGGACACTGGGTCCCCTGGACCTGGAGTTACAGATGGTTGTGAGTTGCTGGCCTACAAAGCGTGTTCCAGGATAGCCAGAGCTACACGGAGAAACCCATCTCGAAAAGCAAACAGCCGGGTGTGGTGGCACACGCCTTTAATCCCAGGACTCTGGGAGGCAGAGGCAGGCAGATCTCTGTGAGTTCGCGGTCCGCCTGGCCTACAAGGGGAGTCCCAGGACAGCCACGGCCGTTTGTTACACGGAGTAACCCTATCTTTCGGAAGAGGAGGTGGAGAACGTTAGAGTTCCCTTCTGACATTTTTGTCCAGAGAACCAAGGACATTTCTGGAGAAGCCATATTTTGACTTATCTTTTTCTGGACTCACAATGTATGAGATAACTGTCTGAGGAAACGCTGGGCCTAGTGAGTCATGGTTCGAGGCTCACGGAGGGAGCTGTTGACCTGAGAGCAGAGGAGTGAGACATGGTGGAAAGCGCAACCAGGAGTGGGGCTCGGGCGAGAGAAGTAGACTGAGCATCTGAGGTCTGTGTGGGTGAGATCAAGGATAGCCTGGGCCACATGGTAAGTTTGGGGTTATCCTGGGCTACATGGTGTGTCTGAACCTCAAAAAAAGAAAACAAAAACATTTAAGATGAAGTGGCATTGCATTTATGCTCTGGGCTTGTCATAAGGATTAATGAGTTAGCAATGCACATTAGTGTGTCAAGAAAAGTGCCTGGGCCATGCCTTTAATCCCAGCAGGAGGTTAAAAACAGGTAGATCCCTGAGTTTGAGGCCAACCTGGTCTATAGAGTTCCAGGACAGCAAGGGCTACAGAGAAAAACCCTCTCTAGACATCCCTCCTCTCCAAAAGAAAAGAAAAGCACCTAGTAGTCATGCTCATTACAAATTGTTTCCCATTCTATTTTACATGAAAAAAAGGCAAGGGTATGTGGTAAAAGGCCTTAACATAACTTGCTCATCATCTTGAAAAATATCGGATGCTCTACTTTACACTTAAGAAAGAAAGAAAGAAAGAAAAAAAACTGTATGCCCACTCAGGGAGGCAGAGGCAGACGGATCTCTGAGTTCAAGGCCAACCTGGTCTACAAAGTAAGTCCAGGACAGCCAGGCTACACAGAAAAAACCTGTCTTGAAAAAGAGAGAGAGAAACATACTTAATATCAGTTAAAGAATATGTGTGCCTGGTGTGGCAAACGCCTTTAATCCCAACATTTGTGAGGCTGAAGCAGGCAATCTCTGAATTGGAGGCCAGCCTGGTCTACATGGTGATTTCCAGAAAAACCAGAGCCATGTAGAGAGATTATCTCAAAAAATAAAAAAAAAAAACCAGTTAAATAAGTGAAGTACATTCATTTAAAAAAATGTGCATGAAATAAATCAAGCTTGGGGCTGGAGAGATGGCTCCGTCACTAAAAGCACTTGGTGGCTTAGTATTTAAGAGCACTGACTGGGCCCGGCAATTGTATGGCACACGCCTTCTGATCTCAGCACTTGGAAGGCAGAGGCAGACAGATCTCCATGAGTGTTTAGGCTAGCCTGGTCTAAAAACAGATTGTTCTTGCAGAAGACCCAGGTTTGTTCGCAGCACTCACTACTATCTGTAACTCCAGTTCCAAGGCGTCGGCTACCTTCTGAGTTCCCCCAGGCACTGCACTCAAGCGAGGAACATGCATACATGCAGGCAGAATACTCATACACACAATAAATAAGGTCTTGTTTAAAATAAAGCGAACTAGAAAGGCAAAAACACCTGGATGATAGTTAATTGATTAACCTAGAAAATCTCTGACCTGATGGTCAGAAGAAGCAAGACAGGGAGCAAGTCCCTGAGGCTGGTGGAGCCCTGGGCTCCGGAGCCTGTCACTATTCTGGGTACAAGGACTTCGCTCTGTATTTTGGGGCCGCGGGTGGGGGATGGGAGCGTGGCGTGGGGCCAGGGTTGGCGGTGGTGGACGACTTCTCCACCAGATGACTGCAAACCAGATGACTTCGAACACCAGACTCCACAGGGGGGAGGCCGGAACTCCTGAGTCGCGAATGCGTGTTTCCGGAGGGAGTTTGAGTGCGGAGGCCTTAGGATGGTTACACTAAGAAAGCCGACTTCCGCCGTGGCGTTCTTTCGCGGCGTTTCGGCGGCGGTACGGGCAAACCATGAGGCAGAAGCACTACCTTGAGGCCGCAGCTCGGGGCCTGGTGGAAAGCTGCCCGGGCCAAGCCCGCTACCTCCTGTAAGAGAGGGACGTAGGGCGGAAGGTGGGGAGGAGGGTCGGGGTAGGGAGGGTGGCCACGGTGCTCGGCCTCACGTCCCGTTCTCTTTTGCAGCTGGGCCTACAGTTCGACACACGGTAGGAGAACGCCGGCCGCGGTGGCTTCGTTTCTTGTCGCCCCAGAGGTCCAAAAGAGAAGGCTGACCAACTTGTCTCATTTTTTAAAAAAATTAAAAAAATCCTAGGCTTCTCAGTTGCATGAAAAGCTCAAATTCTATACTATCTTAACCATTGAGCAGTCCTTTTTTTTTTTTTTTTTTTTAATTTTAAAATGTGTTTTGGTGCTTTGCCTACGTGTATATCTGGGCACCACGTGCATGCTTAGTGCCACGGAAACTATAAGAGGGCATGGAATCCCCTGTAACTGCTGTCACAACGGGTTGTGAGCCGCCATGTGGGTGCTGGGAATTAATTAAACCCGAGACCTCCGCAAGAGCAACAAATAATCCTAACCCCTGACCCATCTCCTTGGGTCCTTGATCAGTTTTTTCTTTTTAATCTTTATTCTATTAAATGTATACATTTTGCCCTCATGTTTGCATCATTTGGGAGCCTAGTGACCAGAAGAGGGTGACGGAATTCCCTGGAAATGCAGGTATAAACAAGTGTGAGCTGTGCAGAGAGGGTGCTGGAAATCAAACCTGTGTTTCGTAGAAGAGCAGCCAGCAGTTATAACTACAGAGGCATCTCTCTAGCCCACACAGTTTTTGTTTGTGTTTGTGTGCCCAAGAGAGTGAATGCCTGGAGGCCAGAGAACAAGTTTTTGGGACTAGGTTCTATCCTACCGGATGGGTTCCTAGGGATGGAACTCAGGTTGGTCAGTGTTTCAGAAGTAATTTTCACCTGTCTTCCAGGCGGGCATCTACCTCGTAATCCTGTACCTCATTGTACTTTGTTGGCTCTCCTAATTGTACTTTGTTGGCTCTCCTAATCTTAGAAGATCTGAATATTGTGGTGTCCCAGAACTCAGTTCTTGGATGACAATTTTTCATTCAGCCTTAGAGCAAGATACAGTATATTGAGACCTCCCTAACTCCAGCCTGGATTTCTTCTCCAGATTTTACACTGTATTCTTGACTTTTTTTTTTTTTTTTTTTTACGACTAGATAGTTGTTCCTACCTCATTAAACAGTGATCCTGTCCTTGGAGCCATTCTTGACCCCCTAATAACACCTCCTCTTTGTGCCAGCAAATCACATTGGCTTTAACATATCTCCCAAACTGACTCACTCTTACATCCACTGCTTGCAACCTGGTCCAAAAATTAGTGCTTCCCTCCTCCCCATGGATTACTGCTAACTGCTGGAGGCATTCTGCAATCTTTGTCTAAGGCAGCATACCACATGACCTCTCTGACATACTTCCAGTTTGTTTACTCAGCACCAGACCTGCTTGCTTTTGTCTTCCAAAAGTAAGGCATTTTGTGTCTGGAACACTACTTGCTGGCTGCTGTTATTTCTCTCTGCAAATGTCATTTGATGAAGTCTTCCTCACCAGCCTCTGATCCCCTTCCTTAGCCCCAGCCCCTGCCCCAGCACTTAACATGTGATGTTGTATGTCATCTGGCTGTCCTTTGGTTTTGTATCAAAAAAAGAAAGCACTGGGTGTACTACTTTTGAAAGGATGGGAAAAAGAAGGGAAAGAAAAATCCCTGAGCAATTGTCTTTGTGGTAAATGTGTTGATAACTAAGAAACAGATGAGCAAAGGAATAAAGGCCAGAGACCTGCCTGTCTGTTGCTGAAGGAGTGCGTTAGGATATCAGAGAATTCTTTAAAGTGCATTATTTCTAATTTGCTTTTATGAATTTTTATATCTGGAGTTTGCTTCATGTGACTATCTGCTGATACCATCAGTATGTTTTTCTTTTTCCCATTATGATACCAGTTGTTTGAAGTAACAAAATATTCTGACTTGCTGAACTGTGGATTTTATTTAATTGTAGAGGAAAACAGCACTTTTCAAGAAACATGTCCACACTGCTTCCAATTGTTGGTTCTGGATAACTCTAGAGTGCGCCTCAAACCCAAGGCCAAATTGACACCTAAGATTCAGAAACTTCTTAATCGAGAAGCAAGAAGTCAGATACTCAGTTTTAAAGAAGCAAAACTGTTGAGAAAGTACAAAGAGTCCACAAGTGTGCTGGTAAGGATGCTGCTATGGTGCATCAAAACAAGCTGTCGTTTTGTCTTTTTTTCTGTTTGGTTAAGAATCATTGCCTTGCCAGAACAGACCTGTAGTAGTACATTTGGACTGTAAGAGTGCACACATGATGTTTCTGTGATAGTGAGTCACTAAGGGGATAGTTTATATTTTGTTTATTTTGAGACAGGGCTTCTCTGTGTTGCCCTGGCTGTCCTAGAACTTGCTTTGTAGACCAGACTGGCCTCTGAAGCCAGTCTACCTCTGTCTCCCAAGTGATGGGATTAAAGGCATGCATTACTGCATTGGCTAGTTTATTCTTATTTTGATAATTGCCTAAAAACCAAGGGCTGATAGTCTTACCTGCTCTCAGTGTTACTGTTGAGCACAGTATTTTTAATTTGGGAAGTCCTTGTGTTTACCAGTGTAACACCACTGGTAAAATCATTTCTTCAGTGACAGTTACTTTTGCCACACTGACCTTGTGTATGAAGTCCCAATGTCAGTATATAATACTTGTCCACCCAGCAAAGTGTTTAGTATCAGGATATAAAATGGAATAAAACAAAAATGCCAGTATCTGATACTGGTAGAGGCCAGCATCAGATATATTTTATATTTTGCATGCTCTGTGTGAACATTATCAACTTACTCAAGTACATGCAGACACTGAGATAGGGTCTTGCTTTGTAGCCGAGGCTGATCTCACCCTACGAGCCTCCTGCCACAGGAAATTGTTAGAAAACATTAGTGTACCATATTTAGGAAATGTTCCTAGAGGAAGGTAAGTGTTTTGATGCTTTACTTTGTTGAAGTTTATACTCCACATATTTTAGTTAGAGATCACTAGAAAGGCAGGCTCGGGATGTTTTGCTGATTTATCTTAGTCTGTATATAGCCTTTTTCCAAAAACTGTAAGGCAGAAGGCCTTTATACAGATTGTTGTAGTTTTCTATTGCTGTGATAAAACACCATGACCAAGGCAACTTATAAAAGTGTTTAATTAGGCTTACTGTTTCAAAGGGCTAGAGTCCATGATGGCTGAGTGGGGAACAGCTGAGGGCTCAGGTCTTAATCCACAACTTTGAGGCAAAGAGACACTGGGAGTCACGTTTTAAAACCTCAACGCCTGCCTCTAGTGATAAATCTCCAAGGCCATATCCCAATCCTTCCCAAACAGTTAGTTATACTAACAGGGAACCAAGTGTTCAAGCAGATGAGTTTATGTGGGCCATTCTCATTCAAACCACCATGTAGATCTTCATTTGCACTTTTGTCCCTGTTTAAAATCTGAGTACCTTTCGCCTAACTTGTTTACATTCTGCTGAGACACGGGCTGAAGTCTGAATGAGCTACGTAGACAAGGCCTTTCTGTACAAAGTGGACCCTGTCCTAAAGCAACCTGCTGGATTCAAGAGATGACTCAGCAGCTAAGAACACTTGCTGCTTGTTTGGCTCTCCGCAGCCATTCCCATAGCCAACACTGCCTTCTATACCCTCTTCTGGCCTGCTGAGGTCATGCACATGTTGCACATATTCGTGCAGGCAACATCCGTACATAAAATAAATACTGATGGTTTCTGAAAGGGTTTAGTAGTTACACCAGCATTTACAGAGTCACTACAGATTTGGAGGTGCTACTTATAATGTCAGTCATCTACCGTGTCTTATTGGGAAAAGAACTAAAGTTCACCAGCTAGAAAATAGTCAATATCAAAAAAGAAAAAAAAAGCCAGATGCGGTGGTGCACGCCTGTAATCCCAGCACTCTGGGAGGCAAAGGCAGGCAGATGGCTGTGAGTTCAAAACCAGCCAACTGGTCTACAGTTAGTCCAGGACAGCCAAGGCTACACAGAGAAACTCTGTCTCAAAATAAAATAAAATAGTCAATCTCTATTGTTGTTACAAAGAACAACTAGATGTTAGTGTGTGCTCTCATCCCAGTTCCCATACAAACCAGTTTCATACTGAGTAGAGACCATCACCTTTTCAAAAGTTATTTTATTTTTTGAGATTGTAATACGCCATTTCCTCCTTCCCTTCCCTCCCTCCAACCTCCCATATACCAGTCACTGCTCTTCCAAATTCATGGCCCCTTTCTTTGTTACATGCATATATTTATGTGTATGTCCGTCTATCTTCCTAAATATAAGCTGCTCAGTCTAGATAATGCTACATGTGCATATGTTTTTAGGGCTGTCTACGTACTATTGGATAGCCAGTTGGTGTGCTCTTCCCTGGGTAATGTTTCTCCTGTGCTCCACATTCCTTAGTTGCCTATAGTTCTTTGTGTAGAATTGGGTTCTCAGGGTCTCCTCTCCCCCGCTCCTGTTGTCTCTTTTCAAAGTATTTATAATATAAATGCTTAGCTAGAACTTTATTGGCAATTTTGTTGTTTTTAAATTGTCTTGTCACTCCTGCAAGCTTCCAGAGAGAGTAGCCTTTGTGCTAGCTGGCCTCTGTCATACAGCTGTAGGAACTGAGGAAACCTGTGGTTTACTGGGTTATATTACCAGAGAACTCATGGGACCAACTTCTTTTTGTGATAGCTGATTACGTGCAGAACATGCAACAGAACAGTGAGACACCATGGTAAGAGTAGAAGCTTTCTGTCAGCACTGAAGAGCAACGCTGCCCCTGCTATAAATGAAGCCGGCTTAAAGACACCAAAGAGAAAGGCTTTGGGCTCCACAAACCTCAGTCAAAATATGTCTGGTTCCAAAGGCAAGAGCCCCTCCTCGACTCTCAGGTACCTTAATTTGTCAGCTGCTATGAAGTATTCAGTATCTGTTTAATGTACACTCCTTAGTAGCCCTTGTATTACAGGTCCTGACACATTTTCTTCCAAGTCCTTTGGTTGCCTGGTGTTTCTAATCCTTAACTCTTATGTCAGTGCATATGGCTCCTATGCAGTCTCTTCAGCCCCTGGCACCTGGCATACATCTACAACCAACTACTAAGTTTTCCTTCCTCCTGTTTCTTAACTGAACAAAATGTCCTTTTATACATCTTTACCTAAAATGGCAGGAGGGGTTGGCAGCTTTTACACTGTAGTCTTATTGCTCGTTTCAATGTTTTCTTTTCTACTCTTGCTGACCTGGGCCAGGTCCTCAGTGACCTTTTGTCAGGACAGTGATCTAAAGCACAGCTCTTTCAGCCCCTTTAACCCCAACTCTGTGGCATGGCATAAATACGTGTCTGGATTATATCCGTTTAATGGTTGAAATTTTAAATTGCACTTGAAATTTATGATCCTGAGTTAAAATGTCAAGTCCAGTTTTCTGTATATTACTGATTTTAAGTCAGTATTTGGTATAAGAATTCAACAGAATTTTTCATTTTTTGTGCAAATGTGGATAAAAGAAAATTTGGTATATTTAAAACAGTTTAGTTGCTTTTAGGGGCACTGGGGAAAGGGTTCAGATGGTAGTCCATGCTGGCTAAACACAAAGACCTGAGTTCAGATTCCCAGTGCCCACATGAAAGCTCACACCAGATGGTGAATGGCTTATTCTATGGGTGTTTGTGGAGTATATCCTGTGCACCTAGCACTGTCCAAACGTACCAGAACATAGACCTAGTAGGCTGGTGCCTGTCCTGTGGCACTGCCATCCTCGTGGGAAAGACAAAGTTCTCACTTAGAATTGTTATGAATGTTGACATCCAGGTGTAAGTCAGTCTGATAATACTTTACTTCCAGGTTTATCTTTCTGGTATCATGGGAGCTTCTGGAACCATCCAGTGTGCTCCTAAATGGTGCCAGAATCGGATCTTCCATGAGGCGTTTGTTGTTGTTGATGGGAATTAATATGAAGACAGCCAGTATCCACGCAGAGCTGTAATGCATAGTGTGATGGGCAGAGTGGAAGGTGCTGGGAGCAGATCTCTTGGCAGGAAGAGCATTTGTCCTTTGGCAATGTGATTGACAGCAGTCTTTCTCTCGTTTTAGAACACCTATATCTGGACAGTCAACACCCATTTGTTCCTCAAGAACCGGGAGCAAAAGAAAGAAGCACTTCTCTCAACTGAAAGCACTGCTTAGTCAGAGTGAATCTGAAAAGAGCCCAAAGCTGGACTTCAGGCACTTCTTATCTTCTCTATGAAGAGAATGACCTTAGAAAACAATTGTGTACCCAGTCTCTGAAAATAAGTCAGTTAACAGCTTTTGTCTTCACTTTGAGGTCTGAGCACATAGAAACTAGGACCAAAAGCAAGCTGTTATTAGCATCCTTCAGTGTTTGTGGAAAAAGTGTCTCATTAAATGAGTGACTTAGGCCTCTCTGGGTGAGTGTGAAGATCAGAAAACAAATGACCAAACCAGAGTGATGTTCAAGGATAAAGGTACTGCTCCTGTCATGCCTAACAACCTCTATGCAGTTTCTAGGACCTACAAGGCAAAAAGAACCCATTCTACATGTTCTCTGACCTCCACACAGAAGATGAACAAATACAATAAAGCGTTTTAGAAACTAACAGTTTTTATGGTGAAGGTACAATGGATACTGAATGGTAGTGTTTACTTTAGCTTTTATAGCTGCTAGGATTTTGGAACTAAACCTGCTCCTGGGTTGCCTAGCAACTTATGATGTCATCGTGTCATCCCCCAGGTGGCTACACCTGGAAGGCGTGGTTACCTTGCCCCTTAAAGGGACAACCCTACACGTGTTGGTCACTCTCTTGCTTCTCTTGCCCCTTCTTGCTTTCCCCTTCTCTGAATAGAAGAAAGGAGTCAAGTGTATTTCCTCAGTCATGCATAATAATACTAGTAAACTATGAGCATTTTTTTCACATTTTGAAAGCAAAAATAAATACCTACCTGTTCTGGAGATTAAACTCAGGACCTTGCACACTAGCAGTGTACAAAACTAAGAATTAGGCTGACAAGTCTTAAGCACTGTAGCAGTGGTGAGCCAAGCCAGGTATTCTTTGTGTCTATAGTCTACCCTGTCACTGCTGAGCCTCTCAAGACTAGATCATGAATTGTAAAGAGTAGAGAAGGGATTACAAAGTATGACTTTAGACAACATGTGCCTCCTTAGAGATCAATTGGTACCATCTTGAAATTAAGCACCCATCAAGCTTTTCACCCAGACACAGTGAAGAAACACATTAGTTCAGTTCCAGCTCCACTTAGCTGATGGTACTACCAGAAGGGCTGCATTTATTCATGGGAATAAAGGCAGATATCACACTTGGTCCTTCTAAGGGGAACATGGTGGGAGTTGAGACAATATGAATAACTAGGGAGCTCTTCAATGCATTATTTTCTAGATTCAAAAACACTATGGGTGATAAAATTTTGAGCATTAGTTTTATTGGATCTTGGGGATGATAGGAAGTCTTAGGAAAACTGAAAAATCCCAACACTTCTGCAAATAATAACTGCAGAAATGTTTCGAATTTCGTTTTCTAATAGTACACTTGACAGAGGGAGTTTTAGAGAGCATAAATAGGAAGGACAATTTCAGCAGCATACAAAAAACATTAAAAAAAACACCTTCCGAACTTTTAAAAGCCAGATTTCTAGTGTAATATGACTGTCTATCCACACCAATGGAATGACAAATCAAAGCAAGAAAAATCAGTACCTCCTATACAAGTGTGGTAGATGTGCAGCTTGGTCATCATGTGGGTCCCCTAACACTGGGGATAGGGGCTGTCTCTGTTGTCCTGCCCTTGGATCCCTTTACCCTAGCAGGGCTGTCTTGTGTGGGCTCAGTGGTAGAGGATGCACTTAGTCCTGCTGCGACTTGGGGTACCAAGGTGGGCTGGTACCACTTGAAGACTAACCTTTCTCTGAGGGGGGAACTGGGAGGAGAGAGGGAGCTGGGATCAGGCTGTAAAGTGATTAAATACGTGGGAAAAAAAAATCCAGCAATATTTTAGATAAGGATTGATAATGCCTACAGCTTTATAAACAACTAAAGTTTCTGAAATGATAGGAAACAAGCATGGGAGTATTCAGGTCATTAACTGCCAAAAATAGACCTCATAAATGTTCTATTTTATTTTATATATGACTAAGAGTAAAATCTAAAACTGCATGCCTGTTGCTCTTTGAAAAGGTGATCATTTCACTGACCAGTAAGATGCTAAAACTATTCACGAGGGCTGGATGACCAGTAAGTAAAAGCACATGCTGATCTGACACCGAGTTTGATTCCTGGCACCCACACGGTGGAAGAATAGTTTCTGCAAGCTGTCCTCTGACCTCCACACATGCACTGTGGTATGTGCACAAACACACGAGGCCTGAGAAGACAGTACAGTGATCAACAGCACTTTTTGCTCTTACAGGGAACCCAGGTCTGCCAGTATCTACATGGTGGCTCAATCATCTGGGACTCCAGTTTCAGATTGGATGCCTGCCCTCTTCTGACCTCCCTGGGTATCAAGCATGCATGTAGTATACATACAGACAAGCAGGCAAAATACTAATGTACATATATGCATCTAGAAAGTTCATAATGAAAATACTCTCCCTAAATTGTAAAGTGTTTTTGTAGGCATAACGTTATTCTGTTATTCAAATGCTGATTTATGTAGCCCTCAAATCTGGTTGCAAGCCTTGTTCTGAGAATCTCCTGTTTCAATGTGGCATAAATTCTGCTCCCAATTGCCAAAAAAGCAGCTTACAGCCAATTGCTTAGCAGGGGAGAAAACAAGGCTAGACTTCCTGCCATTTCTTTTAAATATTGTAACTATGTGGTATGCTTTGAAGTGTGTATTAAGTAAAACTGGTGTAACTCCAGCAACTACACCATAAAGTGCTGGTGAAGAGAATATGCACTCAAAGTGCATGCTGATGAACCAATCAAATTAGACCTACTATTATGATACAGATTTAAACTTTTACTACATCTATAATTGTTCTGCCCCATGAATGGGCATAAAAGGAAGAAAAGAGGCAGGGGCAGACAACTACAGTATGTCTTCTTAATGTTAGTCAAGGCATTCAGACCAGAAGCTCAAACAGTGAAGAGGCTAAGCATCAGTGACATCTGTTGCTAGCTTGGGCATCTACACCCAGTAGACAGGGATCTGATAAACTTGTCGTGAAGCTCACCTGAGGCCCCATAGTACTCAAATTCCAGTTCAAAAGCAAGGCAAAGAGCATTAACTGCAACCCAAACCCAATTCCCCTATTTATGACAGTAGAGTGAACAAAGTGAAATTACACAGCATAAGATTTGTGAATAATCTAATAGTTTAGTTCCAGAAAGATTTTATTGGACATGCCTATAATGCCAGCACTCAGTAAGACTGTGAGTTCAAGGTCAGCCCGAACTCTAGTGAGACACTATGCAAAGAAGCAGTAATAAAAAGAGATCACTGATAGACAACCAATGACAGTATTATTTGGGAAAAGCCATATGTTAATGTATGATTCCCCATTCCCCCCTCAACTTGTACTTCCAAATAAGTAAAGTTGTATTCACCGAACAAACAAACTGGAATATAGCTTAGTGGCAGAGTGAGTGGCTCTCATGGGCAAGGTACTGGCTTTCATCCCCAGCAGCACACACACAGGAAGACAGAATTAACTGAATGTTGCAGTATTTCTAGATGTCTGAATTAGCTAGTGGTTCAGAATCACAGACTTACTTAAATTCAAATTTTCAGTTTTGTGTTCTTCCACGAAGCACAAAATTCAAATGATTCTAAAATCTATCACATATCCTACTTTAGCAAGTGATCTATTTAGATGCTTAGGATAGAATGTTCACGATGGGTTTGTGTGTGTACATGGTACATGCACACAGGCAGAGGCTAGATGAGCTGTTGGGTTTTCTTTCTCTGCTGCTGTCTGCCTCACTGTCTGGAGACAGTATCTCCACTGAGCCTGGAGCTCTTTCGGCTATGCTAGCTGGCCAGGGAGTTCCTGCAACCTCACTGTCTCCACCCATACACTGGCACCTGTGGCCAGGCCTTGCTTTTTATGCAGGTGCTGGGGAATCAAACTCGGCTCCTCGTGTTTACACAGGAAGAAAGGGCTCTTACCTACTGAGCTATTTCCCCAACCCCTGCTTAAACAAGAATCAAGTTGGTGCTCAGCCATCTGCAGTTCATTAAGTGCCCCTGATGATATTGATAACCCCACAAGTCTGGACTATTGGCCAAGTAAAGAGACCCCTTTCTGTAGTTTCTGCTTCACTGACTATTCCACGACTCTGCCAACTCCCTTCCCTTAGTCCCACACCTTCCTGTCCTTTATCCAATGAATTGGAGTCACAAAAATAGCACACACAAAAACTCTTCAAAAACAACATAAAACTTTATTAAGATCTTACACTGTCATCAGGTACAGCCAAAGAAAGGGGTTTGTAAAAGACAGGGAGAATCCTCTTCCCATGTGCTCCTGCCATCTCAGACTGCTGATGGCAACAAATGCGCTACGTAAATCAACCCATTAAGTAATCCAATGTTCCCTTTCTATACAGAAGAACTGAGTTCACACTGTTAAAAGCTTTTTATAGCACAATTGAGAAGCAAGGCTCACCTAAAGAATAACTTCTAACAGCTAGTAAAGCAGCGCAGGGGCTTTGTGTTGCTTCACATCTCAGTTTCAGAGTGGGAATTCAGGAAGGCCCTCCTACCTCCCAGTCACCGTCCTTCTCTTCAGTCTTCTCAGACCAGTTCGTGAACCACACATTGTGGAGTTGTTCACCACAGTGACAGCGGACAACATTCTGTGAACTTTAAAAATCATGATGGCTGGATCATCCTAGCTTTTGTTGATTCTAAAGGATTCCTTATAGAAAAACCCTGATTCAGAATGCTGTGATGAGCTATCCCAGCAGCTGCAGGCGGGATGGTCTTCCTCAGGGAAAGCTCACTGCAGAGCATAGCTCATTTCCAGGCTCCCAGCTCCCCCTGTGGTTCTTTTACTTACTGTAGTGTTGCAAGAGCAGAGGGAGCATCGGGGAATCTGCTCCAATTGCCACTCCGACAGCTCTCTGCACTGTTTGTGGAGAAAAGAGGAATGGTGTCCATTCACAGCACAGGACCCTGCTACAAATGTGACACGCTTTCCCCTGAGGGCTAGACCAGGCTGCTCTCTCAGGCACATGGTAGAGAAAATGTGCATGATTCAGAGTTTGGTATTTTATACGCTTCACCTAAATACATTTCTTTCTTAAGGCAAAGTCTCACTATCTACCTTTAACGGCATAGGCCTCACTCTACAGAACACACTGGCCTCGAATTCAGAGATCTTCCTACCACTGCCTTTCAACTACTGAAGTTAAAGGCGTGCACCACTACACCCAGCTTAAGCCCACTGTGAAAGCTTCCTTTTAGGATCTCCTAATGCTTACCATGTTTATTACTGTAAGGCTGAAAAACTTACTTCTAAAATAAACTGTACAGTTTGTGTTCAGTTAGTGAGCTAACCAACAACTTGAGGTTTGTGGGGCTCAGGTTTTGAGTACTAGCATTTATCACAGATCTCATCAAGCTCTTTAAAAAAATAATACATTTTATCATAAATATTTAGATCAGATACTGGCATCAAAAGAGTATCTAAGTCTGTCTTCATGGTGAAAATATTTCAGCAAACTTCTAAAAGATTTTATATCTTCTCAAGTGTATACCATTTATAAATTAGTTTTAAATGGAAAAGTAACTATTTTAGATGGATTAAATCACCATGTCAACAAATCATAAATAAGGTCATGATAGTGAAAATAAGTTAATACACAAGGCTTTGCTTTTAAAAACATCAACAACAACTGACTTGGCATACTTTAAAACAGGCCTAATCAGGTGTGCACTGTGCACCTGCCCACCTCCTTTGCTGAATCTTTTCTTCGCTCCCTACACCTAGGGAAAAAGACAGCAGCACTGGCAGACACCCAAGTGTGAGGGTCTGGCTGCTGCACACAAACTCCTTACTGTGACAGACAAATGGGGCTCAGAGTGTGCCATGAGCCACTCCTCAGCCACGTTACAGTACATCCATGGTCAAGTGGATTTGGCTGCCAGCTGAGCTTCAGGGGTGTGCACAGAACTGCTCTAGGTTCTGTCAAGAAATGTGTCCTAACTTCCAAAAGTTGTCTAAATCATTGAAAGATAGGACAAGCAGGGATGGGATGATGCCATTCATATAACTGTTTTGGAGAGAGGTCAGATTGTTAAAAGCACTATTTCCCAATCTACTGGCTAGTAAAGATAAATTACCTGTCGTTAACTTCACATGTAAATTCTCTTCAACTATAACCTCTAATACTGGGAAAGAAATAGTGAAGCCATTCAGAGAAGTGAGTATGACTGGCCTGTGAAATTTAAAAGGTGTTCTATTAACTATTTAGTTTGACTCTGATTATAATGAGAAATGCAAAGCAATAAAGGAGAAAAATACCCCCCCCCCGTCATTATCAAATACAAACCTGCAGGTTCACAATTAACTTAAAGAAAGCTGAAGAGCATGCAGCTGCTCTAACACACCGGGTTCAAGTAAAGGTAAAGGGACACTTGCTCTGTATTTACATCTGTAAACATACAAATATAAAATTCACCACATCTACCCTGTAGTATAGCATTGCTTAGTTCCCAATTACACAGTCACTCAAAAACCTTTAGGAAATAAAATGCCCCAGGCTACATAACTGAACATTATGGATACTGAGTTCTTGAGGTACTCAAGCTAAGTGCCATTGCTTAAGTTATATGGACCAGGGATTAAGCATCTCATTGCTTGAGATGCTTTCCTTTACTCCCTACACCTGACATTTTATTAACAGGATCAATGATGGAAGAAGATTGACCTGACAGAAGCAGTCAGCTATAGAGCTGGAGTTGTCCTTGTGGTAGGATGTCAAAACTTACAACATTCTTAAAGCATTAAATGCACGTAAGCTCTAAATAGTGTCATCAAGGAAGTCTCTATTATACAGGCCTTTTATTCTGGATTGGCATTTGGAATGGAATTACTATAGTGCTACCAGGGAAACATTCTCTAGGCTTTAACTTGACCCTTCACGTGGCATCCATGTCTAGTGTTAAAACTCAAAGGCATGAGAACAAGAGAACCAATACTTGGGTGGCAAGGATAAACGTGAAGTTGAAACATTTAGTCTCTTCTATAATCAAGTCCTAACAATACCATAATACAGTCTCACATCAGCTCCTGATCAGTTCTTCTCTTAAGGAATTAGACAGTGTACAGTGATTAGATACTGAAAAAAATAAAGAAAAATAATTGAAAATACAAGAAGAAATAGAAACATGGAATTTCTCACAAGGCCTTGGATCAAAAAAAAACTTACAAAAAGATCGTTTGAAAATAATCATTATTTTTAAGCTCATTAATACACAGAAATCATCACTTGGCTTTAATTCATGTTAACTCACTAATAAAATAGTAAACAAACCAATATTTTAAACCATTTTATAATTCCTTGTCATTTCTTGTGTTAGTACCATTCTCACAACACGTACAAAAATAACTGTACAGGACTATTCACCTAACCTGTCTCCATGTCTGGCAAAGTCCTGGCCCTGGAGGAGACTGGCCATCAATCTTCACCGTAGATGTCCCCGGCAAAAGGTAGGTGCATGTGACTGCCAGTGACACTGGGCAGTCGAGATAAATCTGGCAGGCTCTGGATCCGGGCTCTGAGTTCTTTACGCACCAGGGAAACTCTGGCTAACTTGCGCTTGTATTCCTGTGACAACAAACCACTCTTGTTAGCTTTCACACTGAAAAAGCAAAACAGCTTTCTGCTAATTCTCTGAAGAAAACTTTTATTTTTCAGTTAATGGCAAATAAATCATTTCACTATGAATTTTAGTCAAAAGGGCTATAGAGGTAGGAGATGGGGTGAAGATAAAAGTACATAATACCCATGCATGAAAACAGCATGATGAAATCCACTTGAATGTGCGTATGTTTTCTTAAACTTAAGTTTCAAAGTGTTTTCTGTGATTGCTGGCTATAAACCACTGCAGCATTCTCAGTAGCTGGGACTTTGTCTCCAATACAAACCTGCTGCTTCATAATAACACATTGTAGTTTCACTGGTGGTGGTAGGTTTGAGACAGTTCCATGAAACCGAGGCTGGCCTTGAATTCAGTATGTAGCTGAGAATGATCTTACAATTCTGATACTGTTGCCTCAACCTCCTGAGTACTAGGATGACAGCCATGTGGTGCTGGAGATGGAATGCCAGGTTCTGTGTACATTAGGCAAGCAATCTACCAAGGGAGCTACAGTTTCAGACTCTAGAGTCTTTATTACTATCTCCAGTTATTACTGCCTTAAAAGTTAAGGTCATAAGTATGCCCCCACTGTTATTAATAAAGGATGCAGCATTATGCACATTTTGAAATTCTAATAGCCTTACTTCAATGCAACTTGCAACATTTGTAATGGTATGCATTTCTTTGATGTACTTAACTTCAAATGGGGAACACAGATCAACAGACTAGGCACCAAAAGCACAAAAATAGATTTTAAAAGGCTGGCATCCGGTAACCCAAGGACAAAATACAAAGTCAATCAGGATCATCTTTGGTTCAGCAGGAAGAGCCTACAGTCTGTAGTAGGCATTTCTCACTCTAAATGAAGGCTCAGATCCTCAGTTAAATCCTCCCCAGGAGAGCACATGAAGTTCCCATACTCCTTTAGCCAACAGGGATTAGGGTTTAGGAGGAGCTGTACCTCAGCGCTGGCTGCACACCTCTATCTCCTTAGGGATTTCCAAGAACATACAGTTTGTTAGGGGTTTTGTTGTTGTTTGTATGTTCGTTATGAGAACTATTGGCCCCACTACACATCAGTATCTGAGAATATCTGGGAAAGGTCCAGACCATGTAAACTGTGTAAAAGCCTCCCAAGTGAGTGTGAGCCACTTGCCTGTATTTTTGATGTCCAAAATACTATCAGTCAGGGAGTGTCTTCCTATTTCTAAGCCTCTTCTTTAAAAGTGGAGTTACCCTAGCAGGGCAGAGGACTTGTCAGATGAGTATAACCCACGCTCTAAAGAGGGAGAAAGACTCGAAAACAAAGAACTGGGCATATTAGCTGCAAAGCACAGGCAGAGCCATACACATGAGCTATCAATATTCTTGCCTTTTCAACCAATTCTGATGCCAAGGTCCACTAACAGACACCTCAAAGTCTCTACAGTGTCATGGGCTGACTCCCTTCTCACTTTCATACTCTTTCCAGGCACACCGTTGTAAGATGGCAAAGTTGATTCCTACCACAGAAGCTCAAGTGCTATACAGACTTTAAAAGCAGGGGAATAGGCTTCTTTGGTTTAACTATACACTTGTTAACATCAATTCTGGAGAGGAAAGGTGTACCTCAGTGATAGAGTGCTTGCCTAGTATGTGCAAAGCCGTGGGTTCACTCTTCAGCAACAGGTAAAACAGTGTATCTGAAGGGAGATGTACAATGAACTACCAGAGCATCTTGTTGTTTCTGAGATCATGTAACACGATAGAGCATATGCTTGAAAGAGGATCTGTATATGAAACCAAAGGTAAGAACTGAACAGAAGCAATAATGCTGACACTTTTGTATTTAACATTCTGGGGTTTTACAGCCCTAAGTATTAAAGAATTTAATCAAAACTGAAAACATTTTTCTACCTATTAGTATAACCAACTTGTTTCTTTTCTGTATGTGCTATTACTCTACAACCTTTGTCCCACAAACTGTTCTCTGACCTCCACATGTGCAACACGGCACACAAATATGTGCACATACAGATTGTGTTTAGTTCTGAAAGAATGTGGGCTTTTTCAGAACCCGAGGCAACTTCCCCATAACATTTCTCTGTAATTTCAAATCACTATCTGTCAAACTTTGGCTGTGTTTTTATGTCTTTGTCAAAAACCATGCATACCACTATTTACTTCATCTATCTAAGCTAACACGCACACAAATCTCCACTGTAAGAAATAAAACCTGGGAGGGGGCTACAGCTGGGATACAAAGCAATAACCTGTGATTAATTTAAAAAAAATAATAAAATGCAATGGCTTAGATTAGCCAGAGACAAGACAAAAAAAAAAAAAAACAAAAACAAACAAACAAACAAACAAAAAAAAAAACCTAAGCAAAATGAGTGCTAATTTGGGTTTCAACTCACACAGTAAGATGAATAGAACTGACACCTTCTCAAGCAGCCTATAGCATGGGGAACTACTCTTAACATTGATTTTAAAAAAATTATTATTTATTCAGTATTTTGTGTGTGTGTGTGTGTGTGTGTGTGTGAGCCAGCAGGCCAGAAGATGACACAAGATCTCTTTATAGATGGTTGTGGGCCATGTGGGTGCTGGGAATTGAACTCAGGTCCCCTGGAAGAACAGCCAGTGCTCTTAACCTCTGAGCCATCCAGCCCCTTAACCTTGGTCTTTTATGTCTACACCAGTCTGCTATTCACTTGCCCATCTCATCCCCACAACTCTAACGCTTGCAGTCTTTTCAGTCCCAGTTTCCATTAAGCTCACTTGCACTGGTTTAACCCATGCCTCCACTCTTTTTTTTTTTTTTAAGGTTTATTTATTTACTATATATAGCAAATAAACACTATGTACACCTGAACACCAGAAGAAGGCACCAGATCTCATTAGAGATGGTTCTAAGCCACCATGTGGTTGCTGGGAACTGAACTGAGGACCTCTGGAAACACATCTCTCTAGTCCCCATGCCCTCCATCCTTAAATTTTTTACCCATAATCCAGGAGTGGTGGTGTTGCACATCTTTAATCCAAGGACTGAAAAAGGCAGTTTGAGGACAGCCTGGTCTATGTAGAGTTTCAAATTAGGCAGAGCTACATAGACAGACACCATCTCAAACATACAAAGGGTTGGGAGCAAGAAGGCTCAGCTACTAAAGGCTAGGCCCACAATGAAAAAACAAAGACAGATAAAAACTTACCCGTATTTTATAGTTGTTTCACTGCCTAGAACATTTCTTTATCCACCCTTCCTCCTATGCACTATGTCTGTCACCTTTGACAGCAGGAGCCCTCCTCTTGCCATGCTTCAACACTGAGTTAAGGTTCAGGTTTAGTTCAGAGGTAAAACAGGCCTGGAGGCCTGGGCTCAAGCGTAGCACCAAAGGTAGTAGTAGTGAAACCAGTCCCTTAAGTGATACAATCCGACTTGTAAGTCCTGCCAAGTGAGTTGGGACTTCAAACTACAAGTAGTTTGCCTTGCAGCCAATGCTTACTGTCTTGCACATCCCAGAAGACTTCAACACTCTCCTGACCAAATACTGCCACCAACACTGCCTACTGGCTACTCCAAGCCTCAGCTGACCTGTGCTATGCTCGCTCTTCAAAGCTTCATATCTGTGCTGGGGAGGAGTGAAGTGTTCCTGATTCAACTTTTCTTACTGTAACAAGCAGAGCACTATAAGTCGGGAGACTTCAGATAAACTGCCTCCTTAAACTTCTACCTGCATGACCTTGGACAAGGAATACCTCTGATTATCTTAGTATTGTGGTTTCTTTAGGGAGAGCATCTGTTTTAGAGACCCATGATGCTTAAATAACCTCAAACTTTCAAATCATAAAGTGTTATGTAACTGTGATTACTTTCTGGGATAGCATCTGAATTAGCTCAAAACCAGTAGTTTGAACAGTGGCTCTCAACAATCCTTCAAGGCAGTTCCTCATGCTGTGGTGACCCCTAACCACAAACTTATTTTTGCTGCTACTTCATAATTTTGCTACTGTTATAAATTGTAATGTAAATATCTGTGTTTTCCAATGGTCTTAGGCAACACCTCTGAAAGGGTCATTTGATCCCTAGGTTGAGAACCACTGAGCTATAAGAATAAACTTTGTAGACTGGGTGTGGCCATACACACCATAATCCTAGCATTTGGAAGGCATAGGCAAAGTAGCCTAAAGTTCATAATTAGTCTGGTCTATACAGACTAAGTCTATATAAGGTCTATACAGGCCAGACTAAGCTAGAGTTCTGGAAATCCTGTCTGTCTTAAGAAGAAAACAGAAAAAATAAAATAAAAATCAAAAGTTATTTTAGCCTTCATAAAGTTGTTCTAAAACTCTCACTGATTTAAACATTTTAAAACTTGTACATTTATTCATGGTTTCTTGAAAATGCTCTTATTCCTACCCTCTTCTCATACACAATTGTGACAAACAAAACAAAGCCAAAAACCACAAGAGAACTAGGTGTAGTGCCACATGCCTGTACTTTCAGAACTTGAAAGGAATGAGGCAGGATTGTAAACAGAAGCCCACATGAGCTGGGGATATCTAGTCTCAAAGACGTAACTAAATAAATACATATTAAAAAAAAAAAAACAAAAAACTACCAAAACAAAGATGGAGAATTTCCACTGCATTCCCCAGATGCCGGGAAGGCTCAGCAATGAGGACTGTCTATTAGAGCCTCACCCCCTTCTTAGGACCCTTCTGCTGTAGCATAAGGAGTACTACACCAAACCAGAAACCAAGGATGATTCTTGTGGGCTGGTTTTGTGACCGGGTGGAAGCAACTTGAGTACATTTCAGAACGCTTTGAAAAAAGCCTTAGACAAGTCACAGCTCCCCTTTGCAACTATCTCTACAGTTCTGTAAGTATAACATGACTATACTGACAATACCCAACATCAACATCTACACTTTCAGAAGTGACATCCTGGCATGGTTGTCAAAGACTTTCCTTTCCACAAAA